CAGTCCTCAGGTTTCAAGGGCTTTCAGATTCAGAGTGCTGACACTTACCCCTACATTCATGCACCCAAAAGCTCACAGCCCCACCCAGGCCCCTGTTCCCCCAAGCACCAGCTTTGAAATTCTTGTGGAAGCTTTTAACAGAGGTGTCTCACTCCCCGTCGCTGCTGGCAGTGGTCACTTCATAAAGGCTGGGCATGGAGGAGGAGATGGAATTCAGCATGACGTCAGAAGGGACTATACAAGTGGAGAATATCTCAAGTTCAATACAGTAACTGAATATTTCATGACCTCCTAATGGACAGGCAGGAGAGAGCAGCTTAAGTGAAAGACAGTGGGGTGGCTCGGTCATACCTGAAGAGCAATGGTGACCGCCTGCTCTGTCTCAGGCTGGGGAAGGAGAACAGCAGGGCTCTCGGCCCAGGCTGAGCAAGAACAGGAAGTGACTCTGCAACAAACAGCTGGATCCCCTCCACAATGAAAGCACCTGCCACAGGGCCAAGCTTGCGGTTTGAGTTTCAAAATCACCTGCTATTAACCCCAAGGTGAAGGAGACCCAGCTTGGAGGGCAAACCTGATCATGAGACAAGCCTACACTCTGGGATGGTAGAGCCTCTCCCAACTGCCTCAAAGCCATTGTCGTTGGAGGCTACCATCCTTTCCTCCAGGAAAGAATAGAGACAACGCAATGCCAGTCCCAGCAAGTGAGCTTCTGAGAACACTGTCCTCGGACAAGCAGTGGGGGGTGTCTGGGGCATTTCATCCTGAAGGGAAAATGAAGCCGCCTCTAGACTTCTGGAGGGCTGCAAAGTCTGTACATAAACCCCTCCCTGTGGCCTTAGCTTCCACCACCACCCCAGACCTGTCTCGAAGCCTCATCATCTCTCAACTCCACATGCTGCAGAATGTGAGCCTTCCACCTCAGAGTCCATTGTCTTGTCTCTGCTGGACAGTTCCCATCCCCCAGCTCCAAGCCCTGGGGGATACCAGACCCACATCCTTGCATCACCCTGGTCCTTCTAGGCAGTACTGTGGAACCATTCAGAATTCGTCTGTGATGTGTGTTTTCATCTCCTTTCTACACTCTGAGCCCCATGCCATCAGGAAGAGCATGTGTCTCCTTTATCTCATGTCCCCACATCCCAGGACAAAGTCCGGTACGTAACAGTTCCTCAATAAATGCTGACTCGGGGGATGGTACTAACAGGTGGGAGCCGCAGAATGACAAACTTCAGTTCAGTGAAAGAACTTTCTAGTCCTTTATTACGTTCCCGTTTGAGACTTGCTGCCTTGCATGATAGTGAGCTCCCTGCAGGGGCAGCATACAAATGGCGCCTCTGATCTCAGCTCAGCTGCACTGAGTTGGAGATGCTGTGACCTCTAAGGAACCTTGCAACTCAGAGGTTCTGTGTCACCCTCTGTGTCTTGGAAGAAGCAGCCAGTAATTTGAGGAAGGGGTGGGACGGGAAGAGAGAAAATATCCTTGGGATGTTGGGCCTGTTACTGTGGAAACAGAACGTTTATAGTACTGGTGGGACTTTGGTGGGGAGGGTGGGCAGCTCTGGGGATGGTAAGAACCAGATGGGGGCGGGAAGGGTGAAACTGGGCTCTGTAGTACCAGCTATACACATCACCCTGTCCTCTTCACCCTCACCATTCCTGGGACAGTGAAGACCATAGACACAGGGTAGGTCTGGTTCCACATCTAGCACAGGGGTAGACCTGTGGGTGTGCATGACTCTGGGAGATCTCCCAAAGTCCCCCATAAAGCTAATGGATGAGCTGCATCACCAGTGGGCCACAATGAAGGTGACAGTGCGGGGCTCCCGCCACCCACACAGTTCATATACGGTAAGACTGAAAATATGCTTTACATACCGGCCCCGTGCCAGCCTTTCCTGATGCTAGGGGTGACAGCCAGAAGATCCTACCTCTCAACTTATCCCAAGAACCAGGAAGATATCAACCAGAGCCCTTCACAGGATGCTGGGTGCTGAAGCTGGTAGTCCTCTCCTGCTCAGCTTGGAGATGCTGGCATGCCAGCACGCAGGAACAGAACAAGAAACAGCTGAGCTTGACGTCTAACCGCGAGGGGTGAGGGGGCTTCGAGATGGGGAGGGCAGACCCAGCCAAAGAAATAACATTCCAGAGACAAGAGTTGGGAAGAACTGCCCAACGTGCCACATACCTCAGTCTCAGCTCTGGGAAGCTGGGGGCAGACCGTCTCTGAGAATCCAAAGCCAGCCTAGTCTACATAGTGAGGTCCAGACCAGCCAGGGCTGCACAGTGAGGCTCTGTTAGCCTGAGCTAACAGATGTACCTGATGATTTTTCAGAATCTAGGGGATAATACCTTTGTTTGACTTACTCTTTCCTGTTAATTAAAAGGTGAAGATGCTGAGAAATTGCAAACTGATTTGTAGATTTTTACCAGGCAAAGATGGATGCAATTTCTTCCCAACAGGAAGGACTTCTGTCCATCACCAGCCCTGGGGTGTCTTCACGGGAGGCCATCACTCAGCTCTAGTGGCTCCCTGGCCCTCTTCTACAGTTGTTCTGTAGTCACCATCTCACCTGCCCCCCCTTTAGCAGAATAACCAGAGGTGCACGGGCACTCCCGGGTTCGCACAAGGGTCACTTCTCTTCATATGTGTCTCTTTAAACTTTTGGAAATGACACTCTGGTCTAAGTTTCCTTCCAGAAGCAGGGAGGCATCAGTGGTTCTCCCAAGGAGATGTGGGTGAACAGCACATCCACGAGACAGAGCCAGGCACAAACTGTCCTGAAACCCAAAAAAACACAGCAGCGAGAAGACATCCAGGGGGTTGAAAACGACAAAGAAAGGGACAATTCTAGCAGGGGCAGTGAAGGAACAAAGGACCCTGCTGAGTCAGGGGTGACTCACAAAACTGAGTCCGGAACTCCCTCCCATTCCAGATAACACAGGACAGATGCCGAGACAAGAGAGAGGAGAGATGATCCAGCTAACAGGAATTTGAGAAGGACACAGCAGGAAAAAAAATCAAAGAAGAAACAGGGGCAGTGCCCTGAACCAACAGGACACTTGAAGCTGCAACTACAAGTTCTAGACACCCCCGGAGAAACTCTGAATTCTGAAGACAAGCAGGAAAATAAGCAGCTTCTTTACTAGGCAAGGCTGTTACCTTCTATAAAAGGAGAGCAAGGCGGTCCTGGGCTCCATGCAGCCCCATGTTATCAATTCGCATGGCACAATGGCACCGGTTCTAAGGGAGTGAAATTGCAATCCTATGAAAGAGCAGACGCACTCTGTCCTTCCCATTCCGAGATCAAAGAGATGAGTTTGCACAGTCAATATGAAAAATGATACTATCCAAAACCTTTCTCTGAAACTCTACTTAAGGGTATTCTCCAGTTGGCCCAAAATGAAAACGCACCTGACCTGGTACCCAAGAACCCATCTGAGTTCTACCAGCCTTCAGGCAGGATCCAAATTCCTAGGGACAAGGGGGCTGGGAGTCTGACTAGCACCATCAAGAAGGGATACTTAGAAACAGAGTGGTGACACAGGCTGTCACATTTCGGGACAGAGCCTGAGAACTCAGCACATTCCTGGGCCTCTGCATCTCCAATGTTCCCTCTCGGCCATTTGCAGGTGACTCTGCTGCCCCTTATGGATGGCAAAATACTCATGTACAAACGCATACATGTGCTCCTACACACACCAACCGGCACACGTGCATTCTTGGTCACCAGCCCTCTTCTCTCCTAGCAGGCTAGCGCTGACTGTCTTTGTCTTTCATCTCCCATGTGTTACGTCCTCAGGACAGAACACAAGTCCCCATGTCCCCAGCCAGGTTCCATCAGACTCCTGGGTTAAATGATCTCAGCCAAACACAGCACCTTGCTCAGAGCCCTAGTTCAACTGAGGGCAGACTCTACCACAGCAGAGCTGCTTGATACTGTCCTAGGCAGTCAGCCTGGCAGGACTGACCTGGATATAGCCTCCTCTCCCCATCACCTGGCCTCCAGGGCAGCACCCACACTCAACACAGCCTTCTGCATCTCTGGCTGACGAGCAGGCTTCTTTCTTTCTCTCATCAAGTCTTGTTCTATGACCCAGGCGGGTCTTAAATTCCCCGGTTAAGTGGTCCTCCCACTAAAGCCATTCATGCTGTATTAGAAGTGATCAGAAATAGGGTTAGATGACGCCTAAGTCCGTTCTCCATTTCTGACTTGCTGAGTGACCATAATAACAGTAATGGTGAAGCCGACCGTGATGATAGCTACTTGGTGATGATGACGATGATGATGATGGTGTTGGTAAAGGTTGATAGTAACGATGTGATGGTGACGATGATGGTGACGATAGTGTTGGTGACGATAGCTGTGGAGATGACCGTGGTGATGGTTATGATGATGATGATGATGATGATGGACTCTGGTGAAAATGTGATGATGAAGACAGCTATCGTCATGATGGTGAAAATGGTGATGGTGGTGACGATCATGGTAGCAATCATAATGACGGTGATGTTGGCAGTGGTAACGGTAATAATGGTTATGGTGTGGTGACGATGAATGGTAATAGTAACACGGTGACGGTGGTGGTGACAACAGCGACAATGATGATAATGGTAAGAATGGTGATGGTTATGAGAGTGGCGGCGGTGGCGGTGCCGCTGGCAGCCGACACTTCTTGATGTGCATTTGGACCAGGCGAATTTCTTTACTCCTTTTTTACAGATGGGGAAATGGAGGCTTCACAAGGTTAGGTAACTTTCTCAAAGGCATTCAGTTAATCAGCACAAAACAGTCTACACGGCCCATCTGGAAGAACAGACGCTGACAGTGGCTAAAACACCGGACGGCTGTCTGTCTAGGCCTGTCCCCGGAGAGTACCATTTCTCCTGCCCCCGGGGCCAGAGGCCCTGCATTCTCACACAGCATCACCATCATCTCCCAGAAGCCCCTGAGTTAGCTACAGGGTAGCTGGCACGCATCAAAAACAAGTCGTTTACCTACCCTGCCATAACAATGAAGAAATCCAGGCGGTTCCATGTGTCCCCGAGGTAGCACTTCTTGCCAAAAATGCCCAGGGCCACCATCTTAAGCACCATCTCCATGGCGAAGAAGATGAAGATGAAGTCATCAAAGACCTGTGGGGCAGGAAGAAGACAGCACAGGGCAGAGTGAACTCTAAGGGTGGGAGTCGGAGCCACTGTGAGGTCAGAGGTGGGACAGGAAGAGAACCTCAGAGGCCCTGGTCACTCAGCCACTTCACAGACCAGGGATGAACTGCCCAAGGTTGTACAGCACATTCTGTTCACTGCTTTAGCAATGACAAGGACCAGGGCTGAGCACCAGGCTCTCCCTCGCTGTCTCTACTAACTGTCAAGCAGACAGTGGAATCACATTCTCTCCGCTTTCTCACAACGGCACACATTAGGTAGCCCACTTTACAAGGAAGGAAGCAAGACTCAGAGCAGTCAAGCAACTCGCCCAGGTTACACCGAAACTACATGCCAGGATTAAAATGAGACTCAGGTCCGGCTCCCAGGGATGGGCCTCAAATATCCTACTTCTGTAAAATGGGTGCAGCCCCTCAGCCCCGTTCTACAGTTCTTCGCACCCTGCCCAAACCCGTGCACTGGACACATCAGGGCCCACCCAGGACCTGAGGAGTAAGAACAGGAGAAATTCAAGAGGACACTCCTAACAGACATGGGGCAGGGGTACTAGGGAGCCAAGGAAGGCCATGGGCAGAGAAGTGTCAGTCTCTGCATTTCACTGGTGTGGATGGGGTAAGGGGAGGAGCCTCGGCTGGGAAACCAAAGGAAGCTGGTGGGGGATGGGGCAATTATGCAGGAGAGGTGGGGAGATGCACCCGGGTAGAGCCCTGAGGTTGGGGGAGGGGGAAGGGGACCACCGAGAGGCTCACCTGTAGGATCTTGCAGCGGTCCGACAGGCACTCCATGTCGTCACATGGCTGGTACATGCCCAGGGTCACACAGTTGAGCAGGATGACCAACATGCTTACACACTCGAACCACGTACATGGAGTCAAGGATGAGCTGGCGGCAGCGTGGCTTAGGGCGCTACACTCCTGAATGCGACACCGCAGGAACAGACACACGGACCGTTTCTGCTTCTCTCCCACCCTGTGACCCCCCCCCAATGGCCCAGGTCCAGGTTCTCAAAGACTGTACAGCTGGCCCTGCCCCACCACAGCAGTAAGACTAAGGCCACACCCTGCAAGGAACCAAACCAAAACCACCAAAGCGTCCACTGGAGGAGGCTCCTGGTTCCACCCAGGAAGGAGTGACTCCCAGAAAGGTACTTAGCTCCAGCAGCTCTGATACCTAAGTCCTTCTCTGACTCCCTCCTTCTCCCATCGCCCAACCCTCCCTCTGCAGAGGCCTCAGGCTTCCAGTTCAAGGGCTCTACTGCCTTTCCGAGTCCTCCTGGACACGTTCTCCCAGCCTGCCCATCTCTGTGGCTGAAAGTCACAGTCAGCCTCTGGCTGAGGCTCCCAGGTCATCCCTACCCAGAGAGTCGGCCTCCCCAGGTGCTGCCTGGAGCCAGAGAACCTAAGATCTGTTCTTCACTCTGCCATGAGCCACCAGCAGGATAAGGCATCCTACAGCCCAGACAGAGGAGAGCTTCCTAAGTGCGCCTTCCCCCTGCTAACAACCACTCTCAGGCCACAACTGACCCCATCCACTTCTGCCTATCTCAATCTGCCTCACCAGGGAGCTCAAAACTCAAAGAGGCCTCTCGGCTGTGTCCCTCACAGCCCCCCAGTTGCCGTGATACAGCTGAGAGAGCTAGAGTCTGCTCCCCCAATGGCCTCCCCCCTTTTGCCCAAGCCCTGGGGCCTACAGAGATCTGTACCCAAGAAAGTTCGCCATGGTAAAATGAAAGTACAGCATGGCAAAATGAAGTTAAACCACACACAGCATAAATACTGAAGTCAGACTCGGGGATGAACTTCCAGATGGAGGAGCCTGACTTCCCTTGAAGGTGATGACTGACCCGGAAGTGTTTCTCATCTACTAGGAGGGAGCTGACAGCCCCTAACACCAGCTGTCTGCACCAGCTGTCTCCTATCCTTGACCTCATCACTTAGCATCTGGGTACAGAGTGACTAGGCTATGTGTTGTCAGAGCACCCAGCATCATCAGAGACCAGTGCCTGTATGTGAATTCCAGTCGCAGAATATAGTGGCTTTGGGGTCTTAAGCAAACCCCTTCCCATCTCCAAGCTCCCAGAGGTTCCTTACTGGAGTCCTGGAGCACCTCACAGGTCCATAGTGGCTGTCCTGACCCCTCTTCTGTAACGGCATCAGTGAGCCGTTAAAAACATCAGGGAGGCCAGCACGTGTCTTTAATCCCAGAACTTAGGAGACAGAGGCAGGTGAATTTCTGAGTTGAAGGCCAGCCTGGTCTACAGAAAGTGTTCCAGGATGGCCGGGGCTACATAGAGAAACCCTGTCTCAGAAAACAAATAAACAAATAAAACATTCAGGGAGATGTTTCCTCCTCTGCTCAGAGCCCTGCTATGGCTCCCAGCTTCTTCTGATGTAAATTCAGAAGCCCTTCCCAAAGCTGGCCAGCAAGACTCTACCTTCCTCTCCTTCCCCTGACAGCCTCCCTCCAGCCTGGGGCGTCCTGCTTGCTCTGTCTGGTCTGAGGCACATGCCACCTCAGGACCTTTGCAAGAAATGTCCCTTCCACTGGGAGACACTTCCCAAGACTCTCCAGGGCTAACCCTTTACAGGTACTGTCTGCAAGGAGTCCTACCTACCTCTTCAACCCCAGAAGCCCCTCCCCAACAGTCCTCCAGCTTGACATCTCTCTCGTTTCTAGACCACGGAGATGATGCTCATTATCCCTGCCCACTTCTAGAACAAAGTTTGGGTGGCTGGGATTCACACTCTCAGTTCAAACCGTAACAGCATGTAGATGCTCAACCAAGGCTTCCTGCATGAATACATGAGCTCTCGGGGCCCTGGCCACACAGCTCAACCCAATTTATAGCACCATAAAGCCACGCCAGCCCACAACAGCCAGATACTGACCACAGTGGACTGGGCCCCTCCTGCCTGCTAAGAGAGCTGACCTAGTTTCCATGGCAATAGCCCCCTCTGGTCCCCAGATCCTGCTCACCTTGAAAGCTACCTTCCATGGCCTCCATCCCTGCCCTGCTCCTTCCTGTCCCCGGCCTGACTGCCACTCTCCCACCACAGCCTGTAATTAATTTCAGTCGCTGCCAGGCCCCCTTTGAGCCCGAGCATGGCTCCAGCAGCAGCTTCATCATTAATTAACTTTTTTGAAGTTCAAACGTTCTAATTACCAGCGAGCATCCCCATTACCCTTGATCCCCACACACACCCCACCTCCCTCTCATATCCCAGTTTCTTCCTTCCTGGAGACCCAAGCCCAAGTGCACCTGGCAGGCCCATTTACAGATGGGGAAACTCAAGGCCTCTCCTGGGTCAAATGGCTGGGATCTGTCTACACCAGGCCTGCTGGGCTCCCCGGTCAATGTCCCCTCCCAGTCATGTGTCATGCTGTCCCTGCAATGCTGCCTCTGCCTCCCTGAGCCCACAGCACATCCCTGACCCAGTACCAGCCTCTCCTGGCTCTGGCCCTGCCTCTCCAGTGGGCCCCATGTGATGCCAGGCACTGAATCCTCAGACTCTTTGGGAAGCCCACATAGAAAGGAAGAAATTAAGTGAGATACAAAGGGGAACAGATTTAGCCAGGTGTAGAGGTTCATGCCTGTAATGTCAGTACTCGGGAGGCTAAGGCAGGAGGTTCAAGGCCAGCTAGAGCTACAAAACTTAAACCAAAACAAGCAAAAGTGGGTTAGAGCTAGAAATGCAGGGTAGTTGGTAAGTGTTTCGCTAGTGTATACATGGGCCTGGGTTCCATCCCAAGAACCACATAAAGTCAACCACGGTAGCATGGTAGCCAATCCCTGTAGCCCCAGCAGTACTCAGGAGGCAGAGGCAGGAGGATAAGGAGTTGAAGGTCACCCTTAGCTACATTATGAGTCTAAAGCCAGTTTAGCCTCCATGAGGTCCTGTCTTGGTGAGGAGGGGAGAGGAGATTTACTTCAAGTAGCCAGCTGCAGAGACAGCACTCCATGTACAGCTATGCCTATATTTTCTTGTCCCCTCCATATTAATCTATGCACGTCTATCTCTCTCTTGTTCTGAAGTCTTCCATGGCTCCCCATCGCCCCCTTAACCTGATACCCACAGACTCCTGGATTCGGATCTCAATGAGTGCAAAGGCTGAATCTCCTGCTGGCCTCGGGACACTCTAAGCCTCTTGCTACCTGTGAGCATCCCCACCGCATGCCATTACCGTCCCTCTGAGGCAAACCACTGCCCACCCTTCCCCATCTCACTCATCCTCCGCCCATTCCAAAGGCTTCTACCTTTCTCCCTCCCAGCTGCTGCCCAGCCTTCCGCCCACCCAGTCTAACACACACCACGGTGATGAACTTGGCAGTCACTAGGCATGCTTCATGCCAGGCACCTTAGGGACACAGCCTTAACTGCCACACACAGTCCATCAGAAAGAGACAAGGAAATGGGTCTAGAGGGCCAGTGTGTCTCCAAAGTCCCACCGAAGCTCAGGCTGAGCAACTCCAAGTGCTAACTGCTTTCTTGGTAGCTCAGCTACCCTGAGCATGGCATGGAGGCTTCCAGGTTGGACAGATTGATGGCCTGATCCAGTATCTACTTTCCCACCATTAGTCATATGCACCAAGGAACCTAGAGCTCAAGCAAGCTGAGTTCTGGGGAAATGAAAGGAAAGATGGAAACCCCACAAGAGGGCAGAACAGGAATTCTGGGTAATAGTACAGGTGGGGTTTGAATGTTGTCTCCATACGAGAATGGAGTAATCAATAGCTCCCCATTGCTTCTCACAGTTAGAAACAAAGCCCTAGACTGGCATCTAAGGATGTGCAATGGGGACCCTACCATCCTGCCTTCTTTGTCTAGGGGTCTCAGTCCTGTTGGAAAACAGCAGAGCAGCACCTTCAATGGTGAGACAGCATGCAATCCAAGGCCCCGCTGCGTGAATAGGTAATGGAAACAGAGACTTGGCCAGCACACAAGAGCCACTACAGAAGCAATACTCACAGCCCTTGACCTCTGGGGATCCCTGAGTCACAACAGTCTTACAAACCCACCAGCCCTGAGCTTCCCCACCTGTCCAAGCACAACCTGCCATCCTAAGCAGCCCCAGAGCGGGTGACAACCACCCCTGAGGAGCCTGCAGAACAGATCGATGTCTATCAGATCAATGCAGTTTCCTTGGTGGCTCAAACACCCTTGTCACGGGCAGGGACCTTCCAACCCTCAGCCCCAGTAGCAGACAGACTTTAAGGGAACCCTACAGAAGCCTGGACGCTTACCAGCCATCCCCACTCGTCCTCAAGGCCTCGAAGAGAATTAATGAGGACATAATGGAGTACCTGCTGTATACCAGGTGCCTAGTGAATGCCTGATGATTACAAATGCCTCCCGGGTGACCAACAGCATTTGCTAATGAACTTTCTAGCCAAACATCAAGCCAGGAGTGCAGGAGTAGGCTTGTGATCCTGCAGGATGTGTGTGAGTTTGGGGCCAGCCTGGGCTATATAGATCCTATCTTAAACAAATCTGGGATGTCAGCATGTGCAGCAAGGAGCCAAGAGGTCCCTCCTAGTGTGCAGAGCCAGCACAGCAGGGGCAGTAGGAGGACCCTCTCGGACAGCAGAGGGGAGAGAGATCCCAGCTGGATGTCCTCTGCTCATGGCTTTCTATGACCTTGAGTGGACGCTGAAGGTGTCTTTACAAGCCCTTTGGCTGACAGCTGCCAAAGTGGAGGAAGGGGCCGGGGCAGGCACGAAAGGTGGTCTCTCTGTCAAAGCCCCTCAGTCTGTCTCCGGAATAGTGGAGAGTTCATGCCCCGGACCTCAGAGGCCTGCTCTACACAGCCCAGGTCTTGAGCCAGTTCTGTTTCCCTGAAGCCAGGTCCCCAAGCATCTATGT